AAATATTCATTAATAATCAGGATGTAGAACGTAAGAAGTATGAATCTAGGAAAATTGGAAGTTGTAAAATATGAAATATAATGCATAAAGATTGATATCCTAGGCACAGTGAGCTGAATTGGACTGGTATTGGCCATTTTGTACTGCACAATCTTATGGTCTACTATAGCAAGAATGACAAAGAAGAATGGCATCATGTTCATCATAAAAAAAAAAAAAAACATTTCAAGATCTATCCTGAAATACAAATACTGTTAGGGATAGGATAATATCCATATACCTACAAGAAAGACCAGTTAATACTACTATTATTCTAATTTATGCACCAACTGCTAAGGCCAAAGATGAGGAAATTAAAGATTTTTACCAACTTCTGCTGTCTGAAATTGACCAAATGCACAACCAAGATGCATTGATAATTACTGGCAATTAGAATGCAAAAGATGGAAACAAAGAAGTAGTAACTGTAGTTGGAAAATATGATCTTGTTGACAGAAATGATGCCAGATATCACATAACAGAATTTTGCAAGACCAACAACTTATTCATTGCGAATATCTCTTTTCAACAACATAAGCGGCAAGTACACATATGGACCTCACCAGATGGATTATACAAGCATCAGGTCAACTACATCTGTGGAAAGAGAAAATGAAGCACCATCAATTGCTCACATGAAAGTATAAGTTAATGCTGAAGAAAATTAAAAAAAGCCTACGAGAGCCAACATACAACCTTGAATACATCCTACCTAAATCTAGAGACCATTTAAAGAACAGATTTGACACATAAACACCAGTAACAGAAGACTAGACGAGTTGTGGGATGACATCAAGAATATCATAAATGAAGAAAGCAAAAAGTCATTGAAAAGACAGGAAAGGAAGAAAAGACCAAAATCGTTCAGAAGAGACTCTGAAATTTGCTTTTGAACACAGAGTAGCTAAAGTGAATGGATGATAAAGTAAAAAAGAGCTGAAAACAAGATGTCAAAGAGCAGCTCGAGAAGATAAAGTATGATAGTGAAATATGAAAAGACCTGGAGTTAGAAAATCGAAAGGGAAGAACACATTCGGCATTTCTCAAGCTGAAAGAACTGAAGGAAAAATTCAAGCCTGAAGTTACAATACTGAAGGAGTCTATGGGCAAAAATATTGGACAATGCAGAAAGCATCAAAAGAATACGGAAGAATCTGTGGAAGGAAATTTTCTTTGTTGGTTTCCAGGGGTGTGAGGAGAGGAGGGGGAACACTGTTAGATAGGTAGAACTAAGTATTGATTTGGGTGAAGAGAAGGGCAATGTACCAAACGTGAGTGGTCAACATGGTGGCATCGAGGAAGAGGAAGACAGAGAGAGGTACATGGGAGGTACAGACAACAAAAGATGAACATTTTGCACAGATAGTACTGTGTTGTCAGTGAAGGCAGACATGGGTATATGGGTGGCTAGAT